AGTGCAACTAGACATCCGAATGCTTCAAGCCAGAACCGAAACCCGGTCGATTTGGCATTAGTCAGAGTTTCTACCACTAAGCCATTAATATTCAGCAGAAAGTAACAGCTAATTCTAGCATATTGTTTTTATGAATGAATACAAATGCCAATCAGTCAGAAGGCTCCAATTCATTTTACTGAAGAGATTTGCATTAGCGTAGGAGGTTGTTGTTTATAGAATCAGCCTATGTTTCAATAGTACTCAAATGAAATATATTTTCAAGAGTTCAATCATATATATATATATATATATATATATATATATACGTCATTCTCAACCTGAACAATAATACATATGTCACTTTCAACCTGAAAATACATACGAACCGTACAAAAATAAATTGACACCACCAACTTACGTACACACATCCTCCAACCATCCACCTTCAATCATCAGATAAATCAATCAGCCGCAGACTATCTGAAAATTCATCAAACGTAGACATTTTCAATAACAAAAAAACTCCATACGACGAAGCACTAAAAGAAAATGGGTACAAACAGAAAAAGAAATATTATCTGGCTTAACCCACCATACAAAACCGTCAAAACAAACATATTAAGGACATTCCTAAACTTCCCTGAAACAAACCGATAAGAAAAAATATTCAACAAAAATAACGTTAAAATCAGTTACAGTTGAAAAAAATAACACAAATAAAAGGCCACAACCTACATTAATGCAGCTAAGAAACCTCAATGCAACTGCAGAAATAAAACAACATGTCCACTCCAAGGAAATTGCCAACAAACGAATATAATATATAAAGCCAAGGTAAGTGCAAACAGCAGCACAATGTACTACATCGGTGCAACTGAGGGAGCATTCAAGAAGAGACAAAACAACCACGACCTTCCATTCTCCAAAAGAAAATACCCAAACAGCACTACACTATCTACATACATATGGCATAAAAAAGACAGAAATATTACACCAAGAATAAGCTGGAAAATATTGAAAAAAAAACACCTGCTTACAACATTACAAAGAAATGCCTACTTTGCCTACACGAAAAGGTAGCAAAAATTTCTAGTACCCAACAAAAGAATTCACTAAACATAAGATCAGAAATAATTTCCAAATGCAGGCATGAAAATAAATACCTATTATCAGAATTTATGCCAAACGGATAAAAAAAACAAAACAACAAACACTACTACATAAAACACCATTGACCCTATAAACATGAAAAGATTAACCACTGACACCATAATCACATCAATTATTTTCTAGTTCAAACTAACAACATAATAATTACAGTTATTGTTATTATCATTCCACCACCATTACTAAGATCACTTTTACCAATTACAATAACTATTTGCTGCTCCAATTCTTATTATCATCACCCGCTTCCAACCAACGTCATTACTACCACATCACAATTACTATTGTCATATTACTTCCACACTTATCAGTTCACAATTATACATACTTCTCCCTCCCCCAGAAAAATTAATACCACGGCATAAATACTAATAAGTGTTACAAATAGCAAATTCTAGCATTTACATATGCGCAATCGCCAAAAACAAGCAAATAAGTGGCTTTAAAATAATAACAAAACAGCCTTAAAAAATTTAATATAGCAGCAATTTTTACCAATCATAGTCTTACACAGACCCCATCATACATATACACGTGCGTGCGAGAAAACATTGTTCAATGAACAAAAATAGTAAAATCGGTCTGTGTGTTGACAGCGCAACAAACAAAATAAATATTCGCTACACAATCCAACATTGAATACAGCGACCAAATACGTACATATGTGAGCAACGACACACATATGCGCATATATGCCCAGTCCCTCACTGTTCACATATGTTTATGCTTGTGCAGGCTCCTGTGAGTGAGCGTGCGTGCGTGCGTGTGTGTGTGTCTGCGTACGTCAATGTGTGTCGTTCTGATTCCAGTTTTTCCTCCTATTTCCATAAAAACATCGATGTACGCAACCATATATAAATCCAAAATTTAAAAATTAATCAGTTTGCTTGACGATCGCGAATAGCGTGAAACCCAGGGTCACAAACTCACATCAATCCAACTAAATATATATATATATATATATATATATGAAATATATTTTCATGAGCTCAATTATATATATATATATATATATATATATATATATTTGTAAAAAAAATATTACACAAATTGAAATATGTGCTTGAAAATAATCAACTAGCACCGCAATGTCTAGCTAAAAGAAAAGAAACACCGACAGAGTTACTTAACCTGATATGTAAAAGTGCTCAATACAATAATTTGAGCAAAAGTTAGAATACCTAAAGAGCCAGAACCTATCTACCTAGGTATTCTTTAGATACTATATATGTGTGTATGTGTGTGTGTGCGTGTGTGTGTGCGTGTGCGCGTGTGTGTGCGTGTGTGCGTGTGTGTGTGTGTGTGCGTGTGTGTGTGTGTGTGTGTGTGTGTGTGTGTGTGTGTGTGTGTGTGTGTGTGTGTGATTCCAGGTACATTATTAAGTATGAGTTGTCTAATATCTGATACTGTTGTTTTTCCTAATTCATTATCAACATGTTTTTTCTTTCATTTGTTACCTCAATCCCCATTTTGAAATATAAATATTTTTTGTCTTAGGACTTTTCAAAAAAAGTATCGCTGTTCAGGTGAGAGTTCATGTTATCGTATTTTTATGAAATACATTTTGCAAGTGTTTTTTTCTTAAATTCGATAGCATTTATATATTTTCGATGGTAGGATTTATGATTAATGTTGCCACAATTTGTAGTCGTTGTTTGCAGTCAATAATATTTAATAAGATATTAAGTTTTAATATGATATTAAATTTTAATGTGATATTTTTACGTTATTGGTAAGTATTTGTTAAGTTTCTTGTCATGCTTTTGCTGTGCGCATATGTTTAAATATATATATATATATATATATATATATATATATATATATATATATATATATATATATATATTTAAGCGTTTCTTTCACCCCAAGCAAGGCGGAAAGCCACTAGGACGCAAGGTGTTACAGAAGATTTGGAGCAAGGTCAGATAGGAGTGATAGAGGAAAGGATGAGGAGAATAGTGGATAGATCAAGGCAACTGGAGATACAGAGGCCAGAGAGAGAGAGAGAGAGAGAGAGAGAGAGTACCGGGAACCCCTTCCTAAACAAGAAACAAGGCGTAAGCCTCTACTCATGTCCAAGAGA